GTTTCAATCAAATTCAAAACAAGATACCTGACGTAATGATGTGGTGACAAAATTGACATCATGGACAAAATTGACATCATAGACCAATCGAAGTATGACATTTATAACTTTGATAGGGTAACAAATGGTGGAGTTTTCAATTACATTTATAAAAGTTTTCCAATTACTTTTGAATTAAAAGAGAGTATTTGAATTATAAAATCATTTTAATTACATTTATAAAAGTTTTCAGTGGATTGAAAAGAAATTATAATGATTTCATTTATATATTTGAATTATAAAATTATTTCAATTACATTTTTCAAAGTAAAAGAAATTATAATGTTTTCATTTACATTTATGAAAACTAGTTTCGATTGAAAAAGAAAATTATTTGAATTATAAAATTATTTAAATTACAATTAGATTTATAAAACTTTTCAATTACTTCTAAATGATTACTCACATGGTATTCATTAACATTTTTTTATTATATTATTACATTTAAATATGTTTTATTATATATATATATAATAAAAATGAATTTAAAATTATATATATATATATATTTAAATGAAACATGTGGTCTATAATTTTTTACGATAAATTTAAAAATAATAAATATTATTTTTCGTGGTCCAAGATTCGGTTCATGTTTTAGTGGTCCGTATCAATTCTTATTTTTACAACTTGATCGCTATTTAAACTCATCACCTCTTCATATTTTTCAGAACAACACACAGAACACTTCACAATACACAAGTTATATAGTTTCCCCGATCTAATTTTTTTAAAAAAAAGCCTCCATTGTTGCTCTCTCCAAGTTTCCAATTTTATTTTTTGTTTATCTTATTCCTGAGAGAGATGTCTATTGTATTGTGAGAAAATTGTAAATCTATTACTTAAGAGAGTTTGGTGTGTTTCTATAAGTTTTCAAACAATTGTATCGGTTTGATCCTGAGCCGTGGAAAGGATTGAGTTTGCTCTTGAACTCGTAAAAAAAGCGGTGTACCGGTTTGATCCTGAGCCGTGGAAAGGATTGAGTTTGCTCTTGAACTCGTAAAAAGAGATGTGTACCGAGTTTGATCCTGAGCCGTGGAAAGGATTGAGTTTGCTCTTACACTAGTAAAAAGAGCGGTGTAGCGGTTGGGCTCTAATCCAAGGAAAGAGTTAGAAAGTTTTATTCAAATTCCCAAGAGGCGCTTGGGGAGTGGAAGCGGTTGGGCTCTGATCCAAGGAAAGGAAAGAGTTAGCAAGTTTTATTCAAATTCCCAAGAGGCGCTTGGGGAGTGGAGTAGGTCGAGTTTGACTGAACCATTATAAAACTAAGGTGTTATATTTTCTAACCCTTTTCCTATTTAAATTCTAAATTATTGTTAGATTTTGTTGCATGGTATAAGTTCTATTGTTATTAAAAAAAATTAATAATTACATGATTGAAACCCTATTCACCCTCCTCTAGGGTTGTCATATCGATCCAACAGTTAACATGTATTTTTGACCACCTAAGTTAAGGAATTCTCACATGTTATCATGTCCTAGCGATCTCTACAAGTATTACTTTGCCTAAAGTCTATGTGGTTACTTACTTGAATGACGTTTACCTTCTTGAGCCAGCTATTCCACGTGTTTGGAGCTCAAGAATTTATGGAATTTCTCTCGTAGATCCTAATTCAAGCATAATTATGTTAATATCAAAGTCAAAACAAAAAACTGACAAATGGAGGTGGAACGGAACGAACAAAATGAGACTCACATGCACTTACACACGTCGGGAAAGGCTTTTCACGTGCAATTTCACACATGGAGGTTTTTTTGTAGATCTCAGTTACTCATTGTGTCATTGGATCGGGTTCAAGTTACATTTTTTGTTAGGGTCGATGATTTGAATTCAACTGCTGACCCTTTGCATGTACCCGAAGGACCAATTACAAGAAGTAAAGTTAAGAAGATTCAAGAGGCCTATACATTGCATCTCCAAAAACTAGCTAGTGTACAAGTTGAAACAAAGACTTGTGAGCCCAAAATTTTTTATAGCATTAGCCTATCAAATCAAGAAGATAATGAAGTGGCTGATATTGGAAAGTAATTAGAAGACTTGCCTTTGGCAGTGGAATGATGATATCTTAACCAAGAGTCTATTAAAATTTGGTAGGAGAAAAGAAATACAAAGAAGGAGAAACTAGGAAAACAGATCAAACAATCAAAAAGAACTGAAGAGAAAAGAAAAAGGAAAGAGAAAGAAATAAAGAGATTTCCAAACAAGGATAATAATAAAAAAAATACAGGGTGAGAGAGAGAGATTTAGAAACAACTCATAGAAATTTTCCAATAGAATGGTTTTAAATAACAGAGCACATAAAATCTGGTAATTAGACTGGAATGGTTGTAAATAACAGAGCACAAAAAATTTGGTAATTAGACTGGAATGGTTGTAAATAACCGAGCACATAAAATCTAGTAATTAGACGGTTGAACAGAGTTAAAGGAATTAGATATGAGAATAGAATAAGAAAAGAATTAGAATTAAAAGGAAAAAAAATGGAAGAGGGAAGATTTCAAGAAAGAAAAGAAAATTAAATCGATTTAAAATGTTTCTATTAATTGCATAGACATTTTTTAATAAAGAAATGAAAATCAGATTCATTGAAAATAGCCCGAATTTAAAAAAAATGATAGATTCCTAATATTATTAAGAAAGAAAACAAAAGAAAATTAGAATCATATTTTTACAAAAGAAAATTGGAATCATATTTTTAGGAAAGAAAAGAAAAAAATTCAAAATCATTTATCGAATTAATTAGAATCACATCTCCACCTACGTTAACCAGTTATTTAGATTTTAATTAGCAGTGTTAGATCTTTGAGTGAGATCATAGATCTTCTCTTTATACAATTATTTAGAATCAGATCTCCCCTTCATTTACTAAACTGTTAGAATTAAATAGAGACGAAAAGAATTAAACAGAGAAGAAAAGAATTAAATAAGAGGTTTGGAAAAGAATTATACCGAGAGAAGTTTGAAAAGAATTAAACCGGGAGAGGTAAAGAAAAATATATAATTTAATTAAGTACAGATAAGAATAAAAGAAAAGAATGAGGTAAAAGAAATTATATATATTTAACTAATTAAATACAGAAAACAAAAGAGAAAGACTTGAAGGAGGAAAATGGAAGATTTGGTGAGCAAAAACAATTTTACAGAGTAAATAAATAGAGTAAAAAAGGACAACGAGAGATATATATATATATTCAATACTCATAAAGTCTCTAATGCTCACATGGAGTTTAACACATGGACTATTGTAAAATTTAGAGAATTGAAATTGATGTCATGGTTCATATAGGTTGGCTTGGATACAAAGAATAAAACCGAACTTGATAAATTAGTGATACCAGTCTAAGCTAATCAGGTAAGTGGTCTTACTATAGGATAGGCTAAAAATTGTATGGGTTACGATGATGTATGAACTATGTCGTACAATGCGGTATATGAGTTATGATGATGTATGAGTTATGGTGATGTGTGGGTTACGATACTTGATGATGTGTGCAGTATATATATATTTTGATGAATGACGTACTTGATATGTTTGATGCACTATGTGGCAATATGATGAGTATGATGATTGCATGACGTTTACCTTAATATGATGATGTTTTCCATATTGAGCATGCTATATGATGATGAGTGCCATATTGCATCATATCGTTAGATCGACATAGGACACAACCCTAAGAGCGTGAAAATGATATTAATATAAATATCCACGAGTATGTGTTACCTAGAGTAACAAAGAGATGAGACTAGAGGGTTGTGTCAGAAGAGACATTGTGATGGATTTAGAGGGACGTCATGCATATTGTATGTTCATAAGCATAGAGCTACTTCCCCTGGAGATGATGAGTGCGAACGCGCACCATATGATGAGCGCGAATGCGCACAGGTGCAAATGCACACAGATGAGGGTGTTCATGAGGCGCAGACACTATAGGGTTCCGCTGGCCTCCGGACGTCGCTACAGATTAGCTTGACCAGAGGGTCCAGGGGGTGTGCGAGCGCCCTGGGGATTCACACTCGCACGTGTGAGTCGTGTGTAGGGAAGTACTACACATCTAATTTGTCCAAGACTGGAGGCCACCCCTAAGATGATTAGAGATAGGTCCCTAAATCATGATTGCATGTGTTTGCATTTGCATGACCCTTATAGTGGGGCCACTTACTGAGTATTCATTGAAATACTCAGGCCGTGTGCCACATCATTTTTTAGGTAAAGGCAAGGTGCACTTGTACGGAGGACGGCGGCATCGCAAGTAGAGACTGTGGCACGTGCATAGGGTAGACTCATATTTAAATTCTTAGTTTTAAGTTAGAATAGGTTGTTTTGCATTCCATTGTTTTAAATTATTTTGTATTTATTTTTATTTTCTCTAAATTTTAGTATTTTGTATTTAAACACGTAAGACCATGGCTGTGTTTTCCAGAGAAGAAGTTGTTTTAAATGTTTTTTAAAGTCTACGTTATAAATGATGTTCATGTAAGAATTATATTTCCACTTTATAGATGAGCATGAGACGTTAGTGGCGACTCTAGATATGTGGAAATTTACGGTCGTTACATTAAGGGTTCTACTACAAACCCTGCTTGTTTAACAAATGGTAAAGCAACAAAGGAATGGGTAGAACCAGAATCAAACAATGTCAACGCAAAGTGTCCTAGTATAGAAAGCATACCTGTCACCATGGTGCCAGATGTTCCCGCCTCTTTACTAGTCATTGCATATGCCCTGGTTTGTGGGCGAGTTTGTATGGTGGGCTCCCGGATGACCGGTACTTTAAGGGGTTCCCTCGGATTTTTCGAGTTCCTTGTAGGGCAAGTTCTGGCCACATGACCTGCATGACCACAGATATAACACATACCTGAGCTCGCCAAACATCTCCCAACATGTTGTTTTCCACAGTTATGGCACAAGGGCTTCTCCATTGCTAGGTATCGGGCCATTGGGGGTGGAGCTGGTGGCCTACTCTGATATCGAGGTCTCTGGGGCGGTGGTTGGAATTCTGTGGACAGGGCGTTTCCTCCCTATGACAACTGTTTGCTCCGTTTTCTTTTCCTCTGGGGGTTCCTCTAGGACCTTGGCCCTCCTTAGGGCCTCTTCATAGGTTTTTGGGTTAAAGGCCTCTAACATGCGGCGGGTCTTCGGGTTCAATCCCAACACAAATTTTTCTGTCTGTTTCTTTTTAGTGTCAGCTAATGACGGTGCAAACTTTCTCAATCTCATGAAGTCTTGATCATACTAATCAACCATGTGATCACCTTGGGTTAAGTGGTTAAACTCTTGTTGTTTCTTTATACGGGTTTCTTTTGGATAATAATATTTTAGAAAGGCTTCCTTAAAGGTTTCCCATGTTGTAATTCTCCCGCCCAGGTTGATGCTCTGTTTATTATCCGACCACCACACTTCTGCATCTTTTTGTAACACATATGTTGCACACGCCACCTTATGTTCATCAGGGCATCTCATTGATTCAAAGGTCGTTTCCATGTTTGCGATCCACATCTGAGCCGCGGTGGGATCTTCATTTGAACCGACAAAAGGACGGGGGTTATACCATCTGAAATCCTTTAACCAACTCGCACTCCTATCCAGATGCGGGTTGTTGACCAGTCGTATGGCTACCCATCCACCAGTTGCGAAGCTGCCACATTGGCTGGTTGCGTGGCCATCACGTTGGCTAGTTGCTGGCTATTGCCGCAACTTGTTGCGTAGCCAACAACGTGGCCTGTTGTGTGTCTAGCATGGTTTGCATAGTTTTTTGGAGGGATTCCAACAGTAACTTTGTGGCGGGGTCTAACCCGACCTGTGTTGCAGTTTGAGGGGGCGGTGCATATTCAGGAGGGGGTACAGCTTGTGGGGGAGATGCATATTCAGGAGGTGGTACGGTTTGTGGGGGAGGTGCATATTCAGGAGGTGGTACGGTTTGTGGGAGAGGTGCGCATTCAGGAGGTGGTACAAGCGCATATGGTTCGGTAGTCGACCCCTCTTGGGAAGAGCTTCTATTGGCTTCTCCTCTTCCCCCTCTCCTAATTGGAGGTCGTCCTCTCCCTCTCCTACTTCTTCTACGTCCTCTGTGTGGCATGGTTCTAGAAGCCAAGAAAAGGATTCTAGCTAAGTTTATGACTTACTTATAACATTCCCTACATCCTATCTGATAATTCATATAGAAGAAAACATAACTATCATAACGTAAAACGTAAAGACATGCATTACATCAGTTCACATCACAACACATTTTCATAAAGTATCATGTCATGCATCATTTAAAGCCATCCACATTAAATATATCACAAAGATCATACATCCTTCATCCTACTTAAGGTATACCTGGCAACGGCGGGGCACCGGTAATTGGACCATGGAACATGCAAAGCCTACTCTGTAGGCTAGTCTACAAGATCTATAACCTAGAGCTCTGATGATAAGCGCCTACAATGCTGGAATTTGCAAAGCTAGAGGTCCTTCTAGAATCCTTGCAAAACGTTCACAGAGAATGACTCTTAGGTCGAACTTGAATAATACATGAATATTATATGCCTTTAAATAGGCCTAAAAGATAACCCTAACATAATAAAGTTCAGTCACCAACCACAAATCACTAATAAATGCTATTAAATACACATGGAAGAAAATAAGGCAATCATACAAACTATTTATAAATGCTATTAAATACAAATTGAAGAAAATAAGGTATTCATAAATTGTCTTAATTGGTAGTTCAACTACCAAAGGCAAGTCTTCTAATCACTTTCCAATGTCAGCCACTCCATTATTTTCTTCATTTGATACTTGAATCTTCTTTGTATTGCTTCTTGTAATTGCTCGTTCGGGTACATGGAAGTGATCCGTTGTTGAATTCATATCATCTGATACCAACTCTAATGACCCTAATATTTTACCTATCTAAGGTCATTACTATACCTTGAAATGCGGAATATACATTAAATGGGCCCTATTCATAAATGCGACTTACTCCCACCTTTTGTTACCTCGTGAAAGAGAAAATTATTACAAGGAAAAAAAAAAGAAAAGAACATTATTGAAAATAAAGAGAAAGTAACAAAATCAAATGAATGTTTTATTCTACCCTATGGTTTATTATGCAAAAATATTTCAATCTATACTAATCTATACTAATGATGCAAACTGAATTCAGCTTAAACTACGAAATGGAAATAAAAACAAACAACTATCCTATGCATGTGCCACGGTCCTAAGGTGTACAATGCCACCGTCGTTGTCACATGGGTGCCTTGCCCTTATCTGCAAAAGTAAAGTAGCACGAGGCTTGAGTTGATAAGCGCCAACAATGCTGGAATTTGCAAAGTTAGAGGTCCTTCTAGAATCCTTGCAAAAACGTTCACAGAGAAAGCTAACTTAACGGATTGATTCCAACCAAGAGCTGGTTAGAAGATGAATGACTCTTAGATCGAACTTGGAATCTATGATGGTCACTCTTAGATACCAAGACAATTCACTCCAGAATTAGCTTGATCAAAACTAATTCAATGAATTGGTTTAAACATGAAACCTAAAGCAAGGTTTGAAAAAGAATAACACCAAAAGGGTATCAAGAAAACACAAAGGTTTTGTCTATATTCAACCATTCATCCTAACATGAATATTACATGCCTTTAAATAGGCCCAAAAGATAACCCTAACAAAATAAAGTTCAGCCACCAACCACTAATAAATGCTATTAAATACAAATTGAAGAAAATAAGGTAATTCATAAATTGTCTTAATTGGTAGTTCAACTACCAAAGGCAAGTCTTTTAATTATTTTCCAATGTCAGTCACTTTATTATCTTCTTGATTTGATATGCTAATGCTATAAAGATTTTTGGGCTAAAAAATCTTTGTTTCAACTTGTACACTAGCTAGCTTTCGAAGATGCAATGTATAGGCCTCTCGAATCTTCTGAACCTTGCTTCTTGTAATTGGTCCTTTGGGTCATGCAAAGGGTCAGCAGTTGAATTCATATCATGAGTATTTCTAGAATACTCAGTAAGTGACCCCCTATCGGGGTTATGCAACAATCACATGCAATGAAATGATGGGACCTATCATGATAAGATAAGGAATCCATACAAGGGGAATAAGATTCGGATTACTTGACCTATCATGATAAGATAAGGAATCTATACAAGGGGAATAAGATTCGGATTACCTTGACCTATCATGATAAGATAAGGAATCTATACAAGGGGAATAAGATTCGGATTACCTTGTTGATCGAATATCTCAAGGCAAGAATACTTGTTTGAGATTCGAATAACTCCACAAGCAAGATCGATCATGTCTAGCTTGAATGATTCTTGTTGATGAAATATCTCAACGCAAGAACACTTGTTTGAGATTCGAATCACTCCACAAGCAAGATTGATCATGTCAAGCTTGAATAATTCTACAAGCAACCTAAACTACATAGAATTGCAAATAAACTAAGTCATTGGCTAAAGAAAGAACAAATGCTCATTTTACTATATTTTCCAAGTTTACTTACAAATCCAACATACATGACTTTATATAGCCTCAAAAATGAAACTATTGAAGGCATTCCAAGAGTGGTAACATTCATACTTAATGGCCATAATTAGCCATGAGGTAATTGTAACCTAAATGAAATAAAAAGTTTTAAAATACATTGACTCTAAATTACTCTAAATTGTAACCCACTTAAAATTTATAACAATCAAACTTCATTCTTCTTCAATGTGGCATGAATTGAAACATCTTTTGATAATTTTGACAACTTTTTCTTCACATCTTCATTGAAGTATATTGTATGATTGATGTCTCTTGGTTCATATCATATCGTTTCGTTTCGTTTCGTTTTATTTCGTTTTTCCTACGGTGCAATCCTAACGGGTAATCATGGACGTGTACCATATACTCTACACACAGCCCATGCGTGCGAGTATGGGCTCACAAGCTAGTTCACACACCGCTGGACCACTGTCCTTATCCGGTGGGCATACTCTGGGAGCCCTTAATCTCCACAAAGAATAAGTCAAATTGACCATTTGACTTTTACATAATTTATGAAATTAAACATAATTTTTTCTAACAAATGTTGATGTGCTTGAATAGCTAATGCGATAAATTTGAAATCAATTGAGTTCTCCACGCGTAGGTTCAAATTCTGTTGTTGGCATATTTTTTTGAATCTTCTTGGCAATAAGTCCATTTGGCATCACCTTCTTTCCGTCAAATAGGAAGTAAATGAAGTGTATTAAATCCATAAACTACTTTCTTAAAGAATAAGTCAGCATGCTTTGCATCATCCGTAAATCTATCTGCCACATGCTTCATCTTCGGCCAACAAAAGTGTTTATGCAACATCTTATAAACTTTATTAATCCTAAGCTGTCCCATTAAGGCACCACCATATGCTTCTCTCAAAAACAAATCTTTTATAGAGCATTTAGGAATACAAAGCATACTCTTAGTAATTAAAAATTTATGAAACACATAATAATCATCCACCACTTTTTTTGCAAGACAAGATGCATAAATAGTTCTAAAGTCTTGGTCATCTCTATATAATTCAATAATATGCTCAACTCCAAGAATTTTTGCAGTAAGAGAAGTAAAGAGATCATACCTTTTAGATAATACATGAGCTACTGTATTATCCTTACCTTGCTTATACTTGATGACAGATGAAAATGTTTCAATAAATTCAACCCACTTTGCATGTCTACGGTTCAGTTTGCTTTGACCCTTCACATACTTCAAGTTTTCATGATCAAAGTGGATCACAAATTCTCTAGGCCATAAGTAGTGTTGTAGCACATGCAATATATGAACTACAAACAATTCTTTATCATAGATAGGGAATTTCAATGTTGTCCCATTTAGTTTTTCACTAAAATACACTAACGGCTTTTCATCTTGAATTAAAACAACACTTATAACCAAACCACATGCATCACATCCAATTTCAAAAGTTTTATAAAAGCTAGGCAAAACAAATAATGATGCATTGCTTAATTTGTTCCTAGGCAAATTGAATGCATTCTCTTGCATTCCTCCCCATTTAAAAACAATCTTCTTTTTCACTAAGTCATTCAATAGTTCAGTTATGGTTCTAAAACCAGTTATAAATCTCTTATAGAGGTTAGCTAACTCATGAAAACTCTGAACTTTACGTGCACTCTTTGGCGTTGGCAAATCCATGGGACGCCCCCACTCACATCTCCACATGTACAATTTAGTGATCACATTGTTTATATCATATACAAAAGTGGGCCGCATTCATAGTATCCCCAGAATAAGGTACTCAGCCTTATCTCTATACTATAGATCATTTTGGCTATATACTTGAACTTGATCCACTCTTATGTCTCTACATATAGTTCAAGTAATCATACTATAGCCAGAGTATTCTTAGTTTATTGGATTTAGATTAATGATCGCAAAATTCACTTTATTCAATAACAATCTTTACTGAATAAACATCAATAATAACTTTATTGAAAATAGAATATGTTTTTGTTTACAAACTATGAGTTTTAATGCTTATGAACATGCTAGCTAATTTAATATTATTGATGTACTTAGAATGCCTAAGATCTAAATTGCTTCTGCATGTGTTATAACAAAACACCATCAATTGGTATCAGAGCAGGTTTTAGGCACTTTATTTACATTAATTTGAGCATGGTGGGTACAATTTCATGAGTGAAATTTTGTGGTTACTAAAGTGGATGTTTATTGTTTTGGCATTTTTTTTATGCTTCCATTTGATACAATTATTGTAATTGGCCTAATGCATAGGGGCTTTAATGAGTGAAGAAAGGTTTGTAATTTTTATGGAGTTATTAGAGTCCATTTTAGGTTGTAATTGATCGATAATGGAAACCAAAAAAGATGATGGAAGAGGCGGTTTGGGTGTTTTTGATAAGGCAACCCTAATCCTCAGCCCAACGATCCAAGCTTTTGTTTTAGTAAGAAACCTTGAATCAAAGTAATTAACACCTCCTTATACGAAATTTGAATCAACCAAGAGATGAGGCTAGAATTAGATTACCTCTTACGATCAAAGATCTAGAAGCAAGATTTGGAACCTTGTTCTAA